ACAGACTGGTTCACTGTGTAAGGAAACAGTTTCATGTGATTTAAATATCTTTTATGTGTAATGTTGTGTGGAGACTACATTAAGTCTTATATATATAAATAAAAAAATTATTCACTTTTATCTTCATCAGGATTATATTTTGATTGAGCTGACACAGTCTGGGCTGAAAGGGTCTGCTGAGTCCAGAGGAACAGAATCTCAGGAGGAAGATGTTACGCTGGTGGTCAACCCCAACTACACATTTGATGACTAGACGTTTTGACCTTTACATTCTCTGCTGTATCAACTCCAAATAAGAGATTGTTGGATAGATGGTGATCAGGAAGTGGTGGTGTCCCTCTTCAGTCTCTTCTCTTTTTGTAAATTGCTTCTGCTCTGGTTTTAGCTTTTTCCCCACAACGTTTTTGCATTGCTTCGAAAGGATGGCTATAAACATCTTAATTTTTAAGAGGATTTGTGACCTTGCAAAAACAAGCTCTTAGTAAATATGTTTGTTTTTATTCTAGTGTTTTAGAACATTTTAGAATGTTAGTAATGTTTTGCATATATAGTTTATAATGTTTTGTTAAAAGTGCTATCCTTGTGTAATGTCAAAAGAAGTTGTGTTCATTATGCAATAAATTTTAATACATGTATTTGCTGAAAAGCAAGTTTTCGTTTATGTTTAAAACAGAAATTAGATGCTAGTCATGTGTGGAAATCATTTAAAATGTTCTTGGCCAGTTGTCAGTAGAAACTGCACATTCAAATTCCTTGGATTTTTAAATGGAACATTTGCTTATATTAATAAATATATAAACAAAAAATGTAAAATGTCTAATTTTGGCTAAGCTTAAGTTTGTTTTAAAAAATATATATATTTTACAGTTTACATTAACTTAAAATTAACTAAAGCTTATCAAATTGTGAGAAGTGCAAGTCGATTCAAGCAACTGAATTATTAGTTTTTTTGTTTTTAATTCAATTATAGGTAAGCAACCTATGTAAAACTAAAAAAGATTGTAAGATTGATGTACATTTTGGTAACACTTTACTTGAAGGGGTGTGCATAAGACTGACATGACACCTTCATAATCATGACATGACACATGTCATGAATATGAAGGAGGTTTTATGCATGTTTATGACAACTGTCATTAAGTGTCATTCGCTCAGTTATGTCATTTTTAATGCAAATATGACATTATTTGACCTAACCCTACCCCTACCCTTACCCCTAACCATAGCCCATAACAAAGACATCTCAAACAATGTCATCTTTGCATTAAAAATTACATAACTGAGCGAATGACACTTAATGACAGTTGTCATAAACATGCATAAAAAACCTTCATATTCATGACATGTCATGTCATGATTATGTAGGTGTCATGTCAGTCTTATGCACACCCCTGCAAGTAAAGTGTAACCTAAATTTTCACTAAGAAATGTCAAATAATTTTTTTATTCAAAGAACAATAACATACAGTATTTTATCATGAAACCATCAAAAAGAAAAAAAGGGAAATTAAAACAAAAGAAGAAAAAAAGATTAATAAACAAATTACAACAAATAAAAAGTCGCCAGGGGGAAGTAAGTATTAAAGTTCAAAACAAAGATACGAGATATACATATAGTCGCTTTGGATAAAAGCGTCTGCTAAATGACTAAATGTAAATGTAAATATACACGTATACATATATAAAAATCAAATAAATATATTATAAAGTTCACAAGCTTTTAAAGTTCTTACAGCTTTCTTATTCAAAGAGTCTCTGAAACTGTCAATATATATACATATTTCAGTCAACAAAACCATAAAATTGGGTTTCTTATTGGTAAATGTACACTTATGAATGTGAAATTTGTGAAACAGTCTCTAAGTAAATTAATCAAGTAAAAGTACTGTTCCTATTGGTCAGGATAGTCAGTAAAGCCAAAGAGAACATTTTCCCATAAGAGTGAAAAAGGTCTCTGAACAAATGTATTTTTGTTAAAGGGGTCATATGATGCGACATTTTCCTTTCTCTTTGAAGTGTTACAAGCTCTTGGTGCATAAAGATCTGTAAAGTTGCAAAGACTAAAGTCTCAAATCCAAAGAGATATTCTTTATAAAAGTTGAGAGTCAACTACGCCTACCTAAAACGGCTCGATTAAACACGCCCCCACATGTCTATGTCACTATGTGGGAAGATTTGCATAACGGCGCCCAAATGTTCACGCAAAGTGACAGGCATCACAATATGGAAAGTGGCATAACATTTCCGTCTCACGCTTGAGGTATTCGGCCAATCACAACGCACTGGATAGCTGGCCAATCAGAGCACACCTCGCTTTTCAGACCGATGAGCTTTGTAAAAATCGATGCGTTTCAGAAAGGCGGGGCATAGAGGAGAAACAATATACAGTATGTGGAAAATCACGTGGTTTTTAACCTTAAACCGCATAAACACATTTCATTACACCAAATACACCAAATAATGTTCTTTTTAGCAGCATCATATGACCCCTTTAAATGAACACGAGTGCGTCACAAAACCACGTGAACGCGCGTGACGCGTTCTCTTCCTCACACAACAAAGATGGCTGCGTCCTGTCGGAACCTGATGAGGTCGACTTTGCAAGGTAGGTAAACATGTTAACATATAATTCAATAATAAATCATGCCTTATAAATCATGACACATCTGAATAAATTGACTGTACATCATTTTTACTTATGAAATATGATTTTAAACCACCGTTACAATTTTAAATTACTGCTGCATTGCCTTGAGTGCACCTTAAAAGCTTGACATGCACAGAAGAAATTCATGGAGCAATAATATACTGTACTTGTCAACTGATTGAATGCAAACAACCATTCAAGATAAATATGGCTAATGAGAACTCTGGGAAGATTAACTACTCATGTAGTGCAGACTCCTCGCATGTAGGAGTTAGATTAGATGCCAGTACTTCAGGAAATCTCATCAGTCTGATAAATAATTAAGCGATATTATATGAGCAAGAAAGTTGTCTTTCCGAATATAAGCATAAGTGTTGTTAAGCTGTAGGCACGAGGCCACATGTAATCACAGCCATGCTGATACTTAGACCAATATTGCTTGTGTACAACACCAGTTCAATAAACAGTGAGTTAATATTGAGAAACTTACATTTTAGACAGAATAAAGTTCCAAACGAAACCAAAGCAAAATCAACTGTTGCGCGTTTTCGAGCAATGCAGAGCAGTGGTGTTGAATGAATCAGTTGTTTTTGAACGAATCAATTAATTATTCAGTGACTGTCTCATGAAGACAGTCACGTGTCTCCAACTACTGCTATTAAACTCTAACGATGTAATCTAGGGATGAAACTGGGTTTGATTCCCCATAATAAAACATGAATGGTTTTAGATGAAAGCATCTGCCTAATGTAAAAATGAGTATTATCCATATCTATATCTACAGTAATAAGTACTAGTCTGCGATGCAGATGATAAACTGGCCCCATTATCTACAACCCATCATCGGTTCCTAACCCATAATTCAACCACTGACATAATCTGTGCCACATGATTCCGAACGCTAACCTGCATTACTAACCAAACCTACTATGATGATACAACTCCGATATAAGTCTGAAATTTGTCTTGCGTTACAACAGGTTCACTCAAAATTACAAGACTTTATCACGTAGACGGACAGGACCCTTAGATTAAAATAATGATGATAATAATAATAATAATAAAACCTATTTAAAGCTCTGGTACAAATTAGATTTTTGTGTAGCTTATTCAGCTCTTATTCAGCTTGATGTACAAACGAATAGGCCTACTTTAATTCGATTATATCTTGGAACATTAAACCACCGATTAGATGGCGAAAGAACAATTTCATTAGACAGCACATGATTCGGTTCAGAAACAATATTATTGGCCAGCCTTACAAAGTTTTTATGATAATTCATATACATTTTGAAGTGGATGACCCACTATTTTAGAACACATTTTTACTCACCTGCTCAGATCTGACACTCCTCTGCAATACAGATACTTTCTTAATGGCACTGCATAACTTTTTTTTATTTGATATCTTGTTACTAAATGGTATTTTCACAAAACACTATATATGTGATCTAGTAGTTGGTCAGTAACGTAAGGATGCACCTGCATAGAAAATAAATGTAGGCTGAATGTGATTGTTTAACGTCCTTTTTCAGGTTTGTATAAGTTATCAAATAAGACATTGTGGATAAGATCTCCCTTTGAGCAAAGAGTTGCCCATCTCAGACTGCAGGAGAATGTTTTGCACAGTAGAGCTCTACACTGCGGACATTACGCTTTACAAACCATCACCAAGACAGAGTCTCCAGAAGTTATGAACACACAGAAAGCAGCTGAACCTGAAAACAAAACCAACCAACAAAAGAAAGAGGAGGAGGAGGAAGAAGAAGAAGAGGAGGAGGAGGAAGGTAACAGGCCTGAGTACATCCCCAAAAGAAAGGCCAAAAATCCACTGATGAAAGTTGGATATGCATGGTAAGTACTGTCCGAATAAACCAGTAGTGAAAAGTATTTCAGGCTACTGACACGGAGATGTTTTCTTCTAGGATGCTCGGCCTGCCTACTGGAATCATTGGCTTTATTCTGGCAAAGAGACAGGTGGACAAGAACCGACTGAAGCAGCTGAAAATCAGACAGAGAATGAAGAAAGCCAACGAGGGCGATTACGAGAAAGAGCGATATAAACCCGCCGCCAGGATGCAGTGAAAGCTCTGCTTTGTGAAATGACTCTCTTGTGCTAGAGAATAGCTTCATTGTGCACTTAATGGTTGGGTTGCCATGGAAACAATGAACTGATTTATTATAGTGGATCTTTTGATCTTATGGATGAGGAGTTGATGAAGACTTCAATTGAGGGATTTCAGTGCTGCCTGTTTGAAATGTTTTCTATATTTTGATGCAGTCGTCATTGTGCTTGTTCATAAGCATACACATTATAAGCAACCACGATTATCTATTAAAATCAACTAAATAATACTCATGTTCCTTTTATTATGATTATCCTCACAATAACAATGATTAAATATCAAACCTTAACCACATTGTTGTCCAACATGTGGCATGAGAACACTGTAACAGAAAATATAGGTTCATTTTGTTTATATAATTCAAATATATAACAATCCATTTATATGTAGGTGACACCTTTTATGACTATTTATTCATGGTGTATCTAAACAAAGGAAAGGCACCATTGTACATCACATAATATCAAATTCATTAAGTAAAGACATTTATTTCTAGAAAATACAGGTTTATTTTGTTTATATAATTCAAATATATTTGTAGGTGACACCTTTTATGACTATTTATTCATGGTGTATCTAAACAAAGGAAAGGCACCATTGTACATCACATAATATCAAATTCATTAAGTAAAGACATTTATTTCCCAAAGTTGAAGGGAAACATCTGATATAGTCTTTTCTATTGTATATAAAGATGTCTGCGATAAATACTCTATTCATTAACTGAAATAGTTAAGATTGTATGTACACAGCAGAAAAGCTAAACCCTCGACCAAAATGAACCACACACATGTCATATCTATAGATAATACAGCAAATCTAAATCAATACAGTAGAAATTTGCATAATACAGATCCACTTCTAATAGACAGCTTCCATTTCTATGACATGGGATCAAGAACACAGTATTGGCTATATAATATCACTCATATTTTATCGGAATACATGCATATGGTTAGTAAATCATGGAAATGATATTCATCCCTTACCAGTTGTTCAATTAGTATAAAGCTAGATATATTTTACAATTTCCGTATTATTTGAGTAGATGTTAGCTGGGACTGGACTGAGAAGTGCATAAACATTAAAGCCATTATGACGGTACAGAAAAGGTCCATCAGCCAGCTTGAAGCTTCTATCTCTCTGCATATCCGATAATTTGCAGGAGGAAGATGAAGATCTGGACAATGTCAACATAAAGGGAGAGAGCCGCAAACACATACTCCTCCGGGCCGATGGAGAGCTTCCTGTTTCCGATGAGCAGCTGGGTATGATAGGCCAGAAACTAATCATTTAAAAACACACAAACGCAAAGTGAATTCAGGACGAATAAGCAATTTTCCTATGCAGAGCTGAAGTATTCCAAGAAAAGGTGAATTCAATGTGATGCAGTGAATAGACATACCAGAGTGAATGCAATGGCCCCTATTGCTGCATAGAGCATGTGAAGCCATGGGATCTGAAACAAACTGAAAAAGTCAAGTAAATGATCAAATGACAGAGTCCGACTCTCTAACCATTAGGCCACGACTTCCCCGTGGGATCCACAAACAGGATTATACAATAAATAGAAAGCTGAAAAACAGCATTTATCTGTTATAGTACGAAGAATTAAAAGGGGTGGGAACAAAACCACTATCACTGCAAACTAAATGGACAAAGGAATTGTCAAAAGGTAAACAGAGGGTTTACAGGACATCCATTAAAACACTGTCAACAGTCCTGAGACTCGTGCTCTTTTCTCATTTCTCCACCCACTGTATCTCATCACTGAGATCATGATGTACATGTAGTGTGACATGTCTCACCTTGCTATATTTCCAGTCATGAACGATAAGGCCAGTGTCTAAAACAAGAAAAAAAATTGTCAACATTATTCAAAGACTTTAGCATCCTTGATACAATATCTGCAGCATTACATGCAAAAACAACATTGCCCATTACAGGTTTGGCCACAATCCCTCATAATTCCTTCCGAATGACTCAGAATCTTCCAACTCACAAAAATGGACAAGAGGATCAGGTTCCACGGGAAACGCCTCCTAAAATGTGTGACAAAGGAGAGGGCTAAATTCATTGGTTCACATTACAACTTATGTTTATAGTAGCGCTTTTTATGAGGGCTTTCATTTTTAGATTCAATTTTTTTTTGTTTATACTGTCTGGTATGATTTTTGTGTCTTCATTCTTACTGTGTCACATTACTAAACTACGAGCAGTACAAAATATCACCACCTGATCCTTTTATTGTTAGGTTGATTTAGAAAATGGGGCAATCATCTCACCTGGGTCCCTGACAGCAAACCAATACGATGTGTGTGACCAAATAGACAGCACTGAAAAAAAATGACTTCAACAGTCATTCACATTGTTCACTACATTTGTATGTAATGTTGTAAATGTGAAGCATTCTGCATAGTGAATGAATAAATGTCTCATTCTTACTATGAAACCCAGTAAATGGCTGGATTTTTCCTCACAAACACTCCTACAGGTTCCCTGTGTGAATAAAAACACGAATTAAAGTTTAATGACAAAGCCTACCTGAACAAGCAGAGATAACATTTATCCTTTATTTTGTGTGAACACAAAGCACAGAAAGTAACCACACCCCCCTAACAGAGACTCACACAAATGTGAAAATAGCCACGATGGCAGCTGTGACGATAAGCTGAGAAGCGAGGATCAGATAAACCTGCAAGACAGAAAGAACCTTTTTACAAACTCATCCATTCAGAAAAATGTGTATTCATTATTCATACACAAAGTCCATTAATCTGAAATAACGACTGAGTAACATTACCATTAAACTCTTTTACTTAAGTAAGATTATGCAGAGTACATAAGAATGGTTCCTTACTTTCCGTATAAAAGTGTGACGGACACTAATATCGTCGAATCCTCCTGTTGTGGTAAATCCTTCATTGTCACCTGTAACAATCATGTGTTCTGTGAAAACTACTTTTACATCTACAACCTCATTCACATCAGTCTGTGTAAATAAACCATCATATAACTGGGAGATTCTTCAACTTCTGGCACTTTTATATCACAAGGATCTTAAACGATGAAAAACCATCATAAAAATATGAGTATTACATGTTTGAAACCATGATAATCTAACGAGTGAAGTAATTATAATTTTTACTGTGAAAATTATCTTTTTTTTTTTTTTTTCAAAAGATAACTGTCCTGTCCCAAATTTGGGTGTCACTTCTAGCACACCAAACAATTTTTACCCAATAAAGCGTTTTCCAGGTTAGTGTATTTGTTTACAGTGCCATTGAATAGCATGCCTGAGAAGAAATATGTGATATGTGAAGAAAAAAAAGAGAAATCAAATATCACTTGCAAAATGAATATGCTTTGATTGTGTGTGATTTTCAATTTTGTCAAATTATGCAAAAAGTGTGAAAAAAGAAAATATTAATTGTGTACTGCTAGCTTTGAAATGAGCAAATATGGCACAGAATTTTTTTTTTTTTAATTCATTTTATTTTTTTATTTATTCCACAAAATGTTTAAAATGTCACTATTAAACACAATAAATGATGAGATGTGGTGAGAATTTTCATTAATTTCAGAAAAAGGAGGGGAAAATGACAGAATTCTCATGTGATGCATGTTTGTCCACTGTGTTAGTGAACAAATTAAATAAACAAGTGAGAGTTTGAAAACTGTGTTTAGCTTATTTTCTAAAAGTTCCAAAAGTGCCCATAGTTGAAGAAATACCCAACTACGGTCTAATATACAATCCAAATAAACCCTGGTCTCATTGAAGGACATTTGTGATAATGGCAGCTGGCTGTACATTATCCCTCTACTTAGCAAATACATAAATACATTTAAATGGTTTTATTACATTACAAGAAAGAGACCATGGAATGATAAGAGACACAAAACTACCACAGATATATATACGTAGGTATTCAGTTGCCAGGGACAACAGTAAATTATATAGTGTCGTTAGAATTCGAATGCTGCGACTGACCAATCAGAATCAGGTATTCCAGAGAGCCATCTAATGAATCCCTACATCACTGGCCTATCAACACTAATCTGGTTAGAGCTAGGCTATAGGGATTACATTAAGAAAAATTGTGACTTCAGTTAAGATTCAATTCCATGGCTTGCATATGATCTGCTAAAATTAAATTTCCCGAACAATGGATTGTTAAAGTAATGAACCAGATCCTAAACCTGATCGGCAAGCCATTAAATATTGTTCTTAAATGTTTCAGGACCATGACACTATGATAATAAAAGTAAAAAGTTGAAGGTTTACAAGAGACTAGAAATAATAGTCTTACCTACACCAGGAGGAATGATGGGGATGGCAGGTATATTTGGCGGGGGGTATCCCGCAGGCTGTCCTCGGTATGGATCATTGGGCTGTGGGTAAGGCGGCTGTCCTCGGTATGGATCATTGGGCTGTGGGTAAGGCGGCTGTCCCGCGTATGCGTTGAAGCCATATGGGGGGACAGAAGCGGGGTAACCTCCTCCAGGCTGAGGGTTAGAGAGCAGCCGGGAATCATCATAACTCGGAGGGAAATCTGACCTTGACATGCTGCTTTACCACCTGTTGGGTAGATGAGACACCATAATGACCGTTTGTGCCACTAAAGTGCAGAAAACACCCAAGAAAAAAATCTGACTTGCTCCAAAACAAAAAAGAGAAATGTATTTATTTTTTATTCTTTCTTTAGGAGCAGGTAAATGTGTCATGTCAAGTGCTACCTCCGATTACCAAAAATAATTGTTTGGTTGATCTGCCATTTCTAAATATTCTCCCATCCAGCCCTAAAATATATTAAAATAACCCTAAAATCCAATGCAAGACGACTCATAAGTAGGGATGCACCGAATGTTCGGCAACCGAAATTATTCGGCCGAAAATAGCAGAAATCGCGGAATGGCCTTAAACAATTAGTAAATAAACTGCAGAACGTTATGTTTTCCAAAGCGCGAGGTAAATCTGCGCTGATACAGTCGTCAGTTGCTCGGTCACATTTTTATGAATTTTTACAAGGCACGTGTCAATGCGAAGTCGTGGCCTAATAGTTAGAGAGTCGGACTTGTAACCCAAAGGTTGTGGGTTCCAGTCTCGTACCGGCAGGGGTTGTAGGTGGGGGGAGTGAATGTACAGCGCTCTC